GAAAAAGGTGGCAAATGCCAGGGCTGGAGGAGGGCACTGGTGGGAGGGGCCTAGGCTGCTCTTTCCCTGGCAGCCCCCTGGCCCCTCTGAGGGGACCCCCTTTGCTTCCCAGTTTTCCAGCCCTTGGCAAGCTGGAGAGGGCAGGTTGTTGAGCCGTCCCAAGGTCACTCAGGATGTCCAATAATTGTCCTAACACTTTACCTGCCATGGAACAATAATGAGAGGGTTTTCATTATTTTCGGGTGAGCGCTCCTGGCAGATGCTGACAGCCAGCAGATGTGTAAAGTCCGAGGTGATTTGTAAGGGACCAGCTCATCTGATGCACGGTAATTGCACTGGGCAATGTTGTCACTCAGGGGCAAGTCCTGGTCTGCTGAGATGAGGTAAAGGTCAGTTCAAAGATCCAGTTTGGCCACAGGAAGTGGGAAGTGGGGGCAAACCCCACTCCTATGTGGCTCCAGGGCAGCTATCATGCTGAGTGACTCAGAGGGGCTGTCAGGACAGTCAGGGCCCTGTTTAAGTCCCCCTCTCCCCAGGGTTCTTTGGTGTCCCATCCCAAAGTGTAACTTGCCCTAGCTGCAGGACTCTTGCAGCTTTTTGGAAGCTCTGCCATCCTGGGCTTCCCTGACATTCTGGAATTCTTGTGTTCTAGGGCTCCCAAAGCCAAATCTGTGACATTGACAGTAGGCCTCATGGAGAGATGATCAGGGTTTGGTTCCTCAGCTGTCTCAGTCTGCCATAAATGGATAGACCTCATGGTTTAAGCATCAGATACTTGGGTTTTTTTCACAGTTTTGGGGGCTGCAATATAAGAGCAGGGTGAGAGCACGGTTGGTTTCCGGCAAGGGCCTCTTTCTGGCTTGTAGGCAGCTGCTATATTGCTGTGTATTCACATAACCTCTTTTTTGTTCAGGCACAGAGGGAGATAGAAAAGGAGAGAAGGAAGGAGGAAAAGAGAAAGCCCGCACCAGTGCTCTCAGGCATCTTGTCTTATAAGGACACCAGTCCTACCATATCAGGGCCTCCGTCTTTTGATTCTTTTTGACCTTGATTACCTCTTCCTAGGCACCGTTCTCCAGATACAGTCACATTGCGGGCAAGGGCTTCAACATCTGAATTTTGCAGGACAAAATTCAGTTCACAGCATGGGCCCCTTGAAACCTTACTATTGGTGTTTGTCCCCCTATATGGCACTTTCTTCTCCCAAAGTGCACACACAGGTGCAATCCACACACCCCTCTGCAGCTTTAGGATGCCCTGGAACAGAGCTGGGCCTGCTGGCCCTGCCCAGGGCATGGTGTTTTCATTCAGGGGCTTTTTCATTCCTGGGCCTTTTGCCCAGCCTTGCAAAGGCCTGCACACACCACTGCAGACACTTGCTGGTATGAAGATTTGTTCCTGTCATCTGGGTGAGCTGGGTTGAGTGTTTGTCCCCAGGAGCCTCCACTTTCTCATCTCTGGAGTGAGGATGATGGTTCTCACCTCACAGGTATGATTACTCAGTGGGCTAGAGCCTAGTGAGAGCCACCTGCCAGCCAGATATCTAGCCCTGGGGATGTGTGTGAGCAACAGGGAACCACTTGCTTCTGCCCTTGGGGCAGGAGGATGAGATCAGGTCATGGACACTGAGTGCCGATTCATGCTGCTTCCTGAGAGGCAAGACTCCCCATAATGCTCTATTGCTATTTTACCATTTTAGTAATAATAGTGATTACATTTCAGTTTTAGTACTTTAGGATGATGAAGAGAGCACAGGACAGGCCCCTAGAGGTCAGACAGGGCCCATGGTGATGCATCAAAGGGGGCTTGATTGGTGGCACTCTGAAAGGACAGTACTCAGAGGGAGGGTATTACCCATGCATTTCTTTTTTTTCTTTTTTTTTTTTTGGTACCAGGGATCGAACTTGGTTCCTTGCGCTTACGCGGCAGGCGGAGAAACCACTGAGCTAAATCCCCGGCCCAACCCATGCATTTCTTACTAGCTTTTCAGAGATGGACTCCACTTCTAAAACGAGTACTTGGATTTGGAAACCATATTGTTGGGACAAACTGATGTTGCTATTTCAAGGGAGACTCAGGCGTGAGTATCCTGAAGTGAGTTGTGTGATTAACTCCCTTCCATCCCCATCTAAAGTTGTATCTGGAGTGACAGATGTGAGGCTCTGCCGTCTCCCTGCGACACCGATTGTTCACTGTTCTGAGAAGGTCACACCATCATTCATTAGCAATAATTAGTCCCCCGGGACCCCCTGCACTTCTTCACTCAACTGCTCCATTAACTTGGGTGCATATCACACACTCCAGGCACCAATCAATGAAGATTTACCCATAATGTACAAGGTGATGCTATTAGTTACAATATATTAACTGCTTCATTTAAAAATAAAAAAGCCATCTTTGTGAAGGGCAATTAACCACTAAGTGTAATTGATCATTCATAAACCTCTGATTAGGAAAGACAAATAATAAGAAAGGAATGAATCACCTGAGCTGTGGAAGAAGGCGTGTTCAGCCTCTGGGTCTGTGTTCATTCTGCTGTCAGTTGGTCTACAGATTTCTTCCTAAGTCGCCCTTGGCAGCTTCAGGCCTTGGAGGATGCAGATGCTCCCTGAAGCCTGCTTATTTCTACTGGGCCTTGGGAGGGGGGTTGCAGCCTCAGGGACAGCCTAAGAGAAGCAGCTGGTGAGGTCATTTAGACTTCTCCATCAGTCAGTCATTCAGCAAACACGTATCAAGGTTCTGTCATGTCCCAGGCACTGGGAATGGCATGGAGAACAGAATCGATCCCATCCTTTAATCATCACTGAGGGTCAGGCTGTGTTTGGAGTCCTCCCTTCCATGCCAGTAACAGGCAGATGCTTAGCTCACCCCTACCCTCTTCGTGGTCCTTTCCTCCTGCCTCATTTTTCACTCCATCTTCCATTTCCCCAAGCTGCTGGCATCTTTCCATCTAGAGGTTAGAGCCCATTCACCTGCCTTCCCACAGCGGTCAGCTGCTCTTCCTCTGTGTGGCCTTCAGGACTCTGCTGGGCCTGGATCTTCTAGGATCCTCCTCAGAGTCCTCACATGGGATATGAGCCCTCTCCCTCAGCAGGACAGCTCTGGGAGGCACCAGCTTCTGTTCCCTACACACTTAGTCCTAGCATCCACAGAGGGTGAAGCAGAACTCAGCCACATCCCCAAGTCTCAGCCTCGGGAGGAACGGAATGCCCTGGACCTTACTGAGACTCAGTTTCATCACCAGAAAGTGGGATGAATTGGTTGAGTTGAGCTTTTGGTAGGGTCTTATCCAGTGGAGGCTGATTCTAAGCTACGGTTCTGAGCAACTGGTCTAATCTGTGTGTCACCTCTAAAGTGCTTTGACTGGGGCCATATCTGTAAATCACAATGTGAGCACATTCCTCTTCCATATGTGTGTTTATTAGTAAATTATGTTATGCAGTTACAGCTTATCAATGTAGTACTTAGACTATTAAAAACCTAAGCTTGAAAGGATATGTGAAGAGTCAGAATATCCTCCTGTGCCTTTGGAGGCCGGGGAGATGGACAAGTCTAGGAACATGTGTGAGAGCAGGGCCAGGTGACCATTAGCATTGTAGGTTACTTGTGCTGGGTTTTCTTAAATGTGCCTTCTTGTTCTTAGGACTTGCAGCCGGGGTTCTCTCTGTGACTCCACACAGCAGCTCTATGCAAGTGCCAGTTACGATCGCTGTCTTGGCAAGTCTAGGCTTGTCCAGACCCAGGTGATATGGGCCTGGAGCAGCAGGGCAGTCCCAACAGCCACCACCCCACCTCCAACCTGTGCCTCCTCTGTGTGCAGCCTCCTCCCACAGGCTGGGCCCTTGGTGGTGGGAACCAGGCTCTGTCACCTCTCCTTACACAGATGGGCCTTGCCCTGGTTACCTCTCAGTGTCCACTTTTCCCTCTGCCTTTCCTGTGCTCCTGGCCAGAGCCTTCAGTCCCAAGGGTCTCAGCTCCAGGGTTGCTTCTCCAGGGAGGCCCACCCCGACCTTCCACCCCAGCTGGCAGCCTTCTGTCTTTTCATTCTGTTTGTATCCTTCACAGAGCCTCTCCTCAATTGCACATCACCCTTCCCTTGGAGCCTTCTTGTTTGTTGCCTGCCTCCCACCCCATACCATGGACTGTGGAGTGTAGAAGGGGCCTTGCCTGTGTTTACAGCTGCTGTTCTGTGTGACTGGCACTTAATAGGTGCTCAGTCATTATTTGTAGGAGGGTTGAATGTCATCCATGTTTGTGGTTTTGTGTGCTGAGAACTTGTCCCATGTGGTGCCCACCAGGAAAGGATAGCAGTGCCTCTGGCAGTTCACCCTACCTTGTTGTTGGGTTTGCATGGGATTGGGTTCATCTGTCCATTCCAGAACCATCCATTTACCAATTGACTGTGTTGGCAAACCTTCTTCACTGACAGCAGTGAGAGGGGCCTCAGCTTAGGCCCCTCTGCCTTTGCCCTTTTTGGTAAACATGGACCCATGATTGATAAGGAATGGATATACAGAGCGAAGGTGCGGAGTACAAATACTAAGTGTTATAGAAAGTCACAGAGAAAGCTCTGGACATCCCAAGGTGACCTCTAGCTAGGCCAAGTGGGATAGTGTGGTGGAAGGTAAGTGCTGAATGGGTCTTGAGGTAGGGGTAGGATCAACACAGGTAGAGAGGTAACATGTCCCAGGCTGAGGGTGTGGAGTGTGTCCCAGTTAAAGGAGGAGGCACAGGAGGAGAAAAGGGAGCCCTAGGGAGTTCAAGTGAGGATGAATAGGAGGCTGTGGGGCATGGTGTGTAAGAAGGGATTTGCCCAGTCCAGAAATCCCAGTCTGAACACACCTGGGGTCAGTTAAGGCCATCCCAGGGGCCCTTAGTGATGTTACCTGCTCTGGGACTTGACCATTTGCCCTTAGAGAAGCATCAGTCTCTAGGTCCCTTCCCCGGAGGCCACAGTCCATATGCTGACAACTCCCTCACCTGTCATTTCCTCACCTCAGACTGAAGCAGTCCCAGCTGAAGGTGAGATTCTGTACCAATGAGTCACAGAAGTCCCGGGGAAAGCTGGTGGGGTTGCTTCAGCGGCTGGGATTTGACATCTCCGAGGGGGAAGTGACTTCCCCAGCACCGGCAGCCTGCCAGATCCTAAAGGAGCGAGGTCTGCGGCCACACTTGCTTGTCCATGATGGTAAGTCTACTGGGCCCTGGACTGTGTGGGGTCCCAAGACAAGACTGAGCCAGGGAAAATGGCTTGTACTCTGACTAGGGCCAACCACAGGGAAGGACACTGAGGTAATACCTGGCTCCTGTCATGACACGCATGGACCTGTGGGATACAGACCTCATGGGGCTCCCTGCTGGAGATGAGTTAGGACCAGGCCACATCTGTCCCACAGTTTCAGCCAGAGGGTTGTTAGAGGTCAGTTCCAGCTGGTCCTGAAAGGAAAGCTTAGGATGGCTTCCCCTGACCTGTGCCAGACCAAGGAGCCAAGGAGTTGCCTATGGGACAGAGTTCTACTTCCTGTTGAGAGAGTCAGACAGTGACAAGACAGAACAAATATGAAAAGCTAGATTGAAGTCTGTATCTTTCTAAAGTCTGGCACTGTAGCCCTGAACAGTGATGTCCAGCCTTGCTCTTTGGGGGCAACTTGACAATAGCTGTAGAACAAAGTTTGCACCCTGAGTTTTTAGAATGAATGCAAGACAGGAACCCCTTTGACCCTCAATGGGGAAACTTTAGGGGCTGAAGCAGAAAGAGCAGTATAGGGCCAGGGATTTAGCTCAGTGGTTCTGTGCCTGCCTCAAAAGCTCAAGGACCCAAGAGTTCGATCCCCGGTACCAAAAAAACCCCAAACAAACAGAAAGAGAAGTATTATAAGTATTCTAAACAGTTAAAAAAGAAGGGACTTGAGCAGTGCGTTGGAATTTAGGATGCTTCTCTGTCCTTCCTCTGAGCATTCTTCTTTCTTTCCTCTGCATTTTATTTTTAAATTTTAATGTAATAGTAGATATTAAAAATATAAAAACACTTATTTCTATGAAAAATTAAAAGAAAATTTCATAACAGAATAATTAGAGAGGGCCGGGGATTTAGCTCAGTGGTTCTGCCGACCGCTGCGCAAGCGCAAGGACCCAAGTTCAATCCCCAGTACCAAAAAAAAAGCCAAAAATAATTAGAGAATAATAATGGTAAATATACTGTGTGTCATAATCTTAAAAGAATAGCCAAAAATGTTACTCAGAGTACAAGACAGACAAAAACAGATCCTCTCACAAAAAAGGAATAAATGAAAGGACAAAACTTTCTTTTCAATGAACAAAAGAAACTAGTAGTATAAATGAAACAAAGTAGCATTTATTGCACTTAATTTTTATTTTTACAAACCACTGAGCAGAGGCAAGCTGCTTTTCTGCTTTCCAGGGTAGGAGTGGGGCTTTCAGGGGTGGAGGGTGCTTCCCAGAAAGCTCAAGCGTCAAATTCATTGCCCTACTAGCAGTTAAGGGCACCATGCCAACCTTTAGGGACCTGCTTCTCAGAGTCCTTTCTCTGTAGTCTAGGACGCCTGCCAGTGTCTTTAGGATGTGATCCTCAAAGAAGAAAAGCCTTAAGAAATTCTGTCTCCTTGGACTCCAGAAAAGGGTTACTAGGTATGGGAGTAGGAATGCAAGAGGCAAGGAGCTGAGGAAAATACAGCATTTGCCTCTAAGGTGGTGTTAATCAAAGAACTGAACAAAGAGTGGGCAAATCCTTACCCAGCTATCATCCTGTATCTGTGTTTTCAATAAATGGATCTGTGTTTTCAGAGTTTGAATTTTTTCATGTATTATGATTGATGGGTTTTCCCCTAATATTTTTGTTCAAAAATTTTCAAACATGTGGCCAAGCTCAAGGAATTTTACTTGGAATCTTTTTATATCCATCCCCTAGATTTCATCAACAACTCTTCCCTATGTATTTATCCATTCCACCATCCATCCATCTGTTATTTTTTTGGATCCATATCAAATAAATTGTAGTCATTGATATATTTCCCTTAAACACTTCAGCATATCATTAACTAGAGTTCAGTATTTGTTTAAAGTTTATCTTTTGATGTAAAATTGACATACAATGAACTGCTCAAACCTCAAGTGTACTTTTGCTGAGTTTTGACAAGTGCATATAGTTGTGTATCCCAACGCCATCAAGATCCATAACAGTGGTGGCGAACCTATGGCACACGTGCCACAGAGGGCTGTTTGTGTCATTGAAAGCTCTAAAAGGTTCACCATCACTGGTCTAGAACATTATTATCACCTGCAGTTTTCCTCATGCCTTTTCCATCCAGGCCCTACCATCTTTCCACTAGGTGGAATCATAATTTTGATATTTTCCATTATAATTAAGTGTACCTATTCTAGAATTTCATATAACTAGAGTCATGGCAAGGGCCCCCAGACTACTCCCAGACTTGATAATTTCCTAGAATGGTACACAGGACCCAGGAAGCCTGTTACATCATGATTACAGTCTATTACAGTGAAACAACAGACTCAGCTAGGGGAGGAGACACATGGGGCAAAGGCCATGAGAAACCAGGTGTGAGGTCCCTTTGGCTGAGAGGTGCTTAATTGTTTCAGCAGTGATGTGTGACAACACATGTGAAATGCTAGCAGGCAGGGAAGCTCAACAGGCCTTCAGCATCGGGGTTTTATTAAGGGTCATTCATGTAAGCATGTAGTGCCCATGTGACTGGCTTTAGCCTACTTGATCTCCAGAGAGATCTCAAATGAGTTTGGCCCCAGGCCTCAGGCATACACACCCCTCTTACCAGGCAGGGTGCTGCAGGGCCCAGAGGTTCTCTCCAGAGCTGGTGGAGGGCTGGTCCTGAGGACATGCCCTCTCTGGGATGTGCAGGATTTGAGCAGGCCAGGCCTACTCAATTGGCTCTTTCTTTCACACTGTTTTTTTGTGTAAAATCTTTCACTATCATGTTTTTGACACTTATCAAATCGTTGCATGTATCTGCAATGTTTTCCTTTCTGTTATAGAGTAGGATTCCACTGACTGGACTACCAGTGTATTTGTCCATTCACATGTTCGTGGATACCTGATTGTTTTCTGGTTTCAGGCTATTATGAATACATCTGCAGTGAACACTCATGTGGATGTAGAAGGGCATGCGGGAACCCCTAGGTGATAGTAATGTTTTGGATCTTGATGGGGATTGCATTACACATTGGGTAAATACCTAGGAGGAGAATTGCAGGGCCACAGGGGACATATATGTTCAGTTTTATAAGAAATTGCCAGTCCTTTTCCAGAAGGGTTGTACTGTTTTATACCCCATCAGCTGCTGTACCTGCTCCATGTCCTCATCAGCCCTTGGCATTATCAGTCTTCTTGCCATCTGGTGAGTAGGTAGTGGACTCATTGTGGCTACTTCATCTTTTTTTGTTTTTGTTTTTGTTTTGTAGTATGAGAGATTGAACCCAGGACCTTCACACTGACTTACATCTCCAGCCCATTTTTTATTTTGAGACAAGTTCTCACTAAGTACTCAGGCTGAGTTCAAACGTGTGATCCTCCTGTCTCACCCTACCAGAGAGCTGGAATTATAGGCATGTGCCACCAGATCCAGCTCTACTTCTGTTTTTTGGTGTTTTTTAAAAAATCCAGAAGGTCAACATCTAATACCAAGAGAGATGGGAGCATGTTTCTTCTAGGAATTGAAGACATAGAGGCAATGGCTTTATTCTTGCAACTTTCCCTACGTTAATTGAAAATGGAGGAGAGCAAAGGAGGAGGGCAAGGAAAAGACTTTCTCAAGGGGGCTGGTGAGCAGCAGGGTGGGGAGAGATCCTGGTCCTCAGAATGTGTCAATGGCTTACAGTTTGAGGCCAGCCATGTCAACCCTCAGGGTTGTGAGCAGTGTTGTTTCATCCTATGTCAGCAACCTATGTCAACAACCTATATCCTCCAGCAGATTTTCCCTCTTAGTTGCAAAGCTGTGGACTTCTTTTTTGTATAGAACTAAGGAGCTCTGGGGCTAAGGCTGGTGTTAGGTTGGAGGTTCTTGGGAGTGAGTCCATCTCTCTTCTAACATGCTCTCTAACTATGAGGGCCAAGAAGTTCTTTACCTGTCTGATGGCAATAACATCCCTTCTTTGTCCCCCTCCCATTGTAACTGTGAGGATCAGAAAGTAGTTAGTGCCTGTTAAAATTTAATTAATTTAATAAAAAGAGAAACAGATTTATGCCTTGGAGAAAGGAGGAGGACAGATATAACAGACAGAAAGTATCTCTGGTAGGAGCTGGGAGTAAATTACATCATCCTGGGTCTTGATTGCAATCTTTCTTTTTCTCTCTCCCCAGACATCCTCTCAGAATTTGACAAGATTGACACATCAAACCCAAACTGTGTCCTGATTGCAGATGCTGGTGATGCCTTTTCTTATAAAAACATGAATAAAGCCTTCCAGGTGCTCATGGAACTGGAAAATCCTGTGCTCATATCACTAGGAAAAGGGTAAGTCAGCTCCAGGGACAGCCATTTCCAGTTGCTTTGATTGATGCTTTGTGAATAAGCAGGAAAGGTTGTAGCCAGGTGGTATGGAATGCACACAGGGCAGTTTTCTCCCCTCTCCTTCCCTCTCTTGCTTTTCCTCCTCATTTCATCCTTCTTTCAATTATTTTTTTTTTTTAGAAAAGCAGAATATTCCATCCTCAGAAGCTGGTGATCAAGCTTCCATGTGGACCCTCAGCTGGGAGAGGGTAGGAGGGGCGGGGGACACCATTGCACGTGGAGACCCTGTGGGGATCTCAGAGGCCAAGTGTGAACTGTCCCAAGTTTGGAGTACAGGAAAAGGTGGATTGGTCAGAATATATCACAAGTTATTGAAGAGTGGTTGCAGGGGACACTTAAGCAGTAATAAATTGACTGGAGTTTACTCTGATCTGGCTCCAAGTATCTCTGATTGCAGAACACTATCTCTGTAAAGTTCTGGTTTTGTGACTAGCATTTTGTCTGATCCTTTAGCACATGCCTCATCATCTGTGTTTGTCAGCTTTCCATTCTGATGACAAATACCTGAGATAAATCAACCCAAAGGGAGAAAGGCTTATTTGGCTCACAGTTTTGGAAGTTTTAGTCTGTGGTCACTTGGCTCCTTTGTTTTTGGCCTGTAGTGAGCCAGCATATCATGGTGGAAGGCTGTGGTAGAAGAAATCTGTTCATCTCATGGTCACTGGGAAGCAAAGAGAGAAAGAAGAAGAGGTGGCAGTCCCAATATCTTCTTCAAGGGCACACCCCCAATGACCTAACTTCCTTTCATTAGGCCCTGCCTCCCAAAGGTTTCACTGCCTCCTACAGCACCATCAGTGGAAGGCCAAACCTTGGACACAGCAGCCTTTGGGGGACATTCAAAATCGAAACCATAATACCATTTCTTTTTTTATACAAAGCAACGTTTGGTTATTTTTCCTAACTTTTTTTCTTACTGCCAAGATAGAACATGTTCTTTGAAAAGAAATTAGAAAATGCAGGTGAGTAAACGAAGAACACTGAAAGGTATTTTCAGTCTCACTACACGAGGAAAACAATGTCAGCATTTCAGTGTATGTTTTTTCAGATAGATCCTTACAGATAGATGTGTTCACAGCAGTCATATAAAACTTGACCTTGTTTTATCACCTATTTTTAATTGTGCACCAAACAGTGTTTTGTGAATGACTTTGCCCATGATAAGCAGATATCTCTGTGACGCGGTTATCCATCACGTGGTGTCCTGAGGTCAGTTAACCAATCCTTATTGGTAGACATTAAGGTTGTCTCTGATTTTCTACTATAGTAAAGCCATGTGGTCCAGCTTTGTACATTTAGGTGATGTAGTAAGGGGCGGTCACAGAGTGAACATTTTTGAGGTTCTTGATGGATGTCACCCAGTTGCTTTCCAGAAAGCTGTGCTGATTTCTCCTATCATCAACAGAAATAGCACTAAAGTTTTAGACTCACAAGGTCTGATGTTTCAAGGACACTTGGAGTCCCTGTCCCAGCTTCTCAGTGCAGGAATTCTCAGGCCTTCTCCGAGGAAGTATTTCCTCCTTGGTGCTTCTAGTGACTGGGCACTCACAGCATCTGCTGCTGATCAGCTATTTGAGTAGACAGGGAAGGACTTCTCACACCTCTCACATTCGTGGTGAATCAGTTGATGTGTTCATTTGGTTGGTTCTGGCCACAGCCCTGGGAGCTGTAGGGAGGTGGGGCATGGAAAGGTTAAATAAGAAGCCTTGGTTCCCCAGGGGAGCTGGTACCAGCAGGAGAGCCACCTTGTCTAGCCAACCCCAGGGCCTCTAGATTACATTCTAGAGCAAATGTTTGATACACACAGGATCTTAAATAATTTTGAGCCTGTGTTTAAAAATTGGAAGATTTTGTGTAGTACAACCAGATTTCTGAATTCTTTGAACAATCAGAAGGTCTCACAGTATTAAGTGCCACATTCCTGGATGCACAGCAGCTTGTTTGGAGCCAGTACTTTCCTTAATTTCAGTTTACCACAGGCCCCACCACTCCAGAGCTATTTGCCCTGTCTCCAAGCTTCAAAGTCAGTTGCCATTTTTTGTTTGGTGTTTGTTGTTTTTCTCACAGTAGAGAAATGTCGTATTTCATTGTGCTGTGTCTCTATCAAAAATAGGCAAATGAAAGCTATTTCAAGAAAGAAAAGGTAGGATATATATTCTTAAAAACTAAAACATTTTAGGTGTCATATAAATAAAAGGAGTTCTGCATAATAGTCATGGTTCTCCAAAGAAATAGGAACGTATAGGATGTGGACACAGAGAGAGATTGATTCATTGCTGAGGCTTGGTATGTTAGTCAGCTTTGAGTTGCTAGGCAAAATACCTGAGAGTAACAACTTAAAAGGAGGAAAAGTTTATTTTGGCTCAAGGTTTGGCTGGCTCCAAACCAGAAACATCATGGTGAAAGGGCATAGCAGAAGAAAGTTATTCACCTCGTGGCACTTGGAAGCCAAAAAACAAGGAGTCAGACAGAAAGGAAGAGGCCAGGTACAGTTTATGGCGAACTTTTAGAGCTTTCGATGATACAAACAACCCTCTGTGGTATATGTGCCATAAATCTGTCACCATTGGCATATACCCTCCAATGATACATCCCAATGACCTAATTCCTCCAACTGTACCCCACCTCCTAACAGACCATTCAGCTATGCACTCATCAGTGGAATAACTCATTGACATGAACTACATGCCCTCATGTAGTCACCTCTCTAAGCCCCACCTCTCAACATTGCTGCACTGGGGATCCAGCCATTAATACATGGGTCTTTAGGGGGACACTTCATGTCTAAACCATAACAGGTGTAAATCCAAAATATGCAGAGTAGGGCTAGCAGGATAGACACTTGGGCAAGGCTTGAGTCCCAAGGCTATCTGTTGGGCAGGATTCCTTCTTGCTCAGAGGAGATTAGTCTGCTCTGTTAAATCCTCCAGCTGATTGGATTTGACCCAGCTACAGCATGGAGGGTGATCTGTTTTCCTCAAAATCTACTGATTTATTTTATTTTTATTTTTTTGTACCAGGGATCGAACTCGGGTTCTTGCGCTTACAGGGCAGGCGGCAGAATCACTGAGCTACATCCCCACCCCAAAATCCACAGCTTTAAATCTTGATCTCATCCTAAAAACATCTTCACAGAAATATCTAGAATCGGTCCGGGGATGTAGCTCAGCGGCGTTGCACCTGCCTTCCAAGTGCAAGGTCCTGAGTTCGATCCCTGGTACCAAAAAAAAAAAAAAGACATCTAGAATCGTTTGACCACCTGTCTGGTCAACATGGCCCAGCCACAGTGAAATATAAAATTAAACATTGTGTTGCCTTACAGTCTTTTGTAATTTTGGTCACTAATTTGGGACCAACCACAGCCCCTGGCTTGCATACCTCACTCTGTGCTGGCCCTGTGAGTTTTCTTTAACCCCACACCAGAAAACAAGCAGAATGGAGAAGCTGTATTACGACTTATTTCTGTTAAAACATTTTTCTTTAAAGTTGTCTCTTAATTATTTAAAGTTCTTATTCCATATTACGAGTAATAGTCAAAATAGGTGTATTATTGAAAAGAAAAAAGGAATCAGTTGCTCTTGGCTATGCAGTATTGCAAGAGATGCAGCAGTAGGCCAGGGTTTAGTAAGAGGCGAACAGGGTCTCCTCTAGCGGGTGAATTTTGACTTGGGTTATGGGAGGGGTGTTTAAAAACTAGAAAAAGGACTTGACAACTTCAGTGAGATCACAGCTTCTCCAGGCAGCCCAAGGGCATGGAAAGAGGTGCTGTCACATACTGTCTTTGGTGGGAGGACCACCGGTGAGGGTGTACATGCTGCCAAGGAGTCAGGATTGGCGGTGGGGCTGTGGCAGGATGCCCTCGTCCTGGAAATGGAGTGATTTACATTTGGCATCTGTTTGTACCCGAGAGTGGGAATTGGCTTTGTAATTTCTTCTGTCATGCCGCTGTCAGAAAATTAAGCTGTTTATGCGACAGACTATGGAAGGTTAATGGCTCTTCTGGGAAAGGTCAAGTGGTCATTTTGAAGGGAGGCTGTGCTGAATAATCAGAATCGGCAGGAGAATAAAGCATAAAATCAGATCTGACTGCTTCTCCCTGCTTGTCCTGTTCTTTCTGCTGTCTACAGTTTCCCCTTTGCAGCTGCATCACACAGGGCCTGTCCAGGGCTGCTGTGGACTATATTATGTCAGAAGTGAAGGAGAAATATATCCAATCTCTAGAGTATGGAAAAAATTAAGTACTTTTATTTACTGTACCTTTAAAAAGTGTTTTTGGCCAAGAGTTGACTTCAAAATGACCTTGTTTTCCTGAATGAATGAAAAATAGAGAAAACTTAATGGCTTTTATAAAAACCAGCCCAGACTAGGTTAAGAAAAGAAATATTAAAAGTCCTAATTTTGATTTCCTAGAATCGATTTTTTTTTGGACTCTAAAGATTAGCATAACAAAAACAGGGTTTTGTTTGTGTATTCCAAGTTAACACATTCAGTTTTTTCGAATCCAGGGCTATATTTAAATGCAAGAAAGTCCAAGCATCTTTCTTATTAGAGGAAGACTCAGGGGAATTGTGCCCTGGGCATCTCCTGAGGAGGGTTTTTCTAAATGAAAAGGGCTTGCTTCAGTCTGCCTGCTATCCCATCTCTTTCCAAGTCTGGGTCCAGAAGCACCCAGAGTCCTCAGCTCCAAACAGCGGCACTGGGCACAATGGGTGGTTTTGTTTTAGGCAGTTTCCCATTGCTGCTGGGTAGGTATGTCCAGTGTTTCACGTGGTCTTTCCTCACTGCTGGCCACCACCCCTGGCTAATTCTTACACGTCATTTCCTTAGGGAGGCCCTCCTTGTCCCCCTTGGTTCTTTCCTCTGGCCACCCACAGACCTCCTTCTGTGAGATCCAGGGGGCATGAAGGGCAAGGGAACAAAAGTCATTGCCTCTGAGGCCTGTTGCAGACCCTTTCCCAGGGCAATGTGGCCCACCATGGTTCTCAGCAGGATGCTCTTCGTGAATCCAAGATGTACCCTGGGCCTGGATGCTTCTCTCCTTCTTAGCTGGGTAGCCTCCTTCTCCCTTCAGGGCTCAGCTTCAGCGTTTCTTCTGTGGGACGCCTGTCTGTCTCCCTGCCCCTTGCCTGTCTGCTGCCGGCTTAGGCAGGGTACCAAAGAGCATGGTTCCTTTATCATTGCCCGTGTCCTTCCGTTTTAATTTGTCTGTGGACCTGTCTACATCCCCACTTCAGTGGGAATTCTTGGGGTGGGAGGGCCTACCCATGGCTGGAAGTATCTCTGAGTCCCACAACAGACCTGGGGAGTAGCTGTGTCCGTCCCTGGCTGAGGGGGACTGAGTGGGGTGGACCAACCCTGGCCCAACCAGCGTCCTTCCCAGCCACCTCTATTTCATCCTTCACTGTTTCTTTAAAACTATAGTATTAGAAATCCAAACTATAAATACAGAGCAAAATAAAAGATAGATTTAGGAAGGAGGGAGACAGAGCTTTTGTAAATGGGAAGCGGACCACGAGATGGAGGGAGGGGAAGGGAAGGAAGGGAGGGGAGGGGAGGAGGATGAAAAAAGAATTAAGGTGTGTTATGTACAGGTACCAGTTCCTCACGAGGGATGTAACCATTATGTACTGCAAATGCGTACTAATAAAAACAAAAATTGGAAAGAAAACAATATTTTAAAAACCCCTCTAGATCTGGCTAAGGAAATTGTCATAACAAAGTAGTTTATTTTGTTATATTTGTCCATACTTCACAGTAATACATGAAGTAGGTTGTTTGTTTTGTTCATTTTACACATTAGGAAACTGAGGCCCAAAGGTTTAAGCAGCCTAAAATCACTGTTGGAAAGCAAAGAGAGGATTTGGATGCTGAAGTCAAGCTCTGTTTCATGTGTCTCTCTCATCAAATGCATCTTTAATGTCCCTAAATCTGAAGGGCAAGGAATAGAAGAAGAGAAACTGATGTGGATGGCAGAACACTAATAATTCTAAAATCAGATCCCTGTCCTTCCTCTTGAGTTTCACTGAGCCCTGTGTTTAGAGCAGCACAGGACAAGCCACCTTCTCTCCTCCTTATGGTCTGGTGGCCTTGCTTAGAGAGCCTGGGATCGGTCCACCGTGTACCCGGGACCATGTCTGCCCTCAGGCTCACGCCTGACATGGGGTGAACTGGCAGGGTGTGGGGCCCCAGCTCAGCCCAGCTGCTGTGCAGCACCACAGTGCTCGCAGGAATGATGCAGCCGTCTTAGGAGGAATGCTCCTCTGAGCTGAGCCCTCCCTAGCCTTCAACAGAGGGTATGGCATTCTTATCCTCTCACAAAAGCATCTGGCGCCCACGAAACCTGGCACCTTGCTTGACCTCGGCTAATAGGCGATGTGGCAGGGTGCTGTGGAACTAATGGAGTTTCCTTCTTTGGGCAGTAATTAGGGGTTAATTATTAGCAATTAGGGATTTACCACATGTTCCTTGGGCCTGCTGTTCCTACCCAAAACTCAGGTCACTTATTTTCATCTGTGTTAACAGCTGGTTCCGTCTCTCCCCAGGAGTTCTTAGTTAATCATTGTGTGGGGTCCCTTCGAGGTTGGCAGCAGGGGCCACTCTGGATGACCCGTGGATCCCCAGAGCTGCTGGCCTACCGGGCTCCACCATGCTGACCTCCATTGGTCACTCAGTGTGCCATCACTTGCACCCATGGCTCAGCTCACCTTGTCCCCTCTGCTCTCTTCTAGACGCTACTACAAGGAGACCTTGGGCCTGATGCTGGATGTTGGAGCCTACATGAAAGCACTTGAGGTATTGGCCCTGGTTCTGTCCCAGCCCTCTTCAGGGCCCACATGATGACACTGTTTCATGTCTTTCTGGAGAAGAAGATGTTCAAGGAGCCTTGCCGGTTTCAAAGCAGGTCCTCCTGTTTGGGCTTCTAGCCATTCATTCCTTCTCCTCCGAGGCTTGGCCCCTTGGCTGCCTCCTTATCACTCTGCCCTCCTCTGCCCCCTCCCACCTGCTCTGCCAGCGTACTCTCCCAGCACAATCTGCCACTCCTCTTTGACCCATGGCTTCCCTGTCTGTGCTGACCACCCCAGCCTCCTTCGTGACCCTGGTCATCTGCAGTGTCTCACACTTGATGTGTCCTTCCCACCCTCCTTCCCAACCCTCTCCTCCAGTCACAGGGCCATCTGTGATCAAGCCTCTGGCTCCACTCTGACCCCTGTCTCCTCATCTGACCCCACCTGGGGCTCTTGTCCCAGGTCAGCTCAGGCCACATCCCACCCTCACACTGTAGCAGTTCCTGCCTGCCTGTACTCAGAGGGGCGAGGTGGGGAGATGGTGGGGCGGGCCCTGGACTTCTCCTAGGTGGGTCTGCGATAGAGCTAGAGGTAGGGGTTGGGGCTGAGGCAGACAAGGAAGTGGATTTACAGCTGAGGAAGCAGACAGGAACCCTGGTCTCCCGCCTCAGGTCTTCTGGCTCTTACTGGTGGGTGCCTCCCATTGTGGATGGGCCTTTGAGTGGGTGGCAGCACCAGTGGTGGATGCTCCAAGCATCCCAGGCAGCCCATCATGGACTCATGATGTTCTTGCCCACGAGACATTTCTCAGGCCCACAGTGTCCCATCTTATCAAGGCCCAACCCTTGGTGACACATTGAGGCAGTCTTTCCATGGTTGGACAGCCACCTGTTGTTGATCCAAAACCCATGCTATGTCCTTCTCTCTCTCTCAGTATGCCTGTGGCGTTGAAGCTGAGGTGGTGGGGAAACCTTCCCCAGAGTTTTTCAAGAACGCCCTGCAAGTGTTGGGTGTGGAAGCCCACCAGGTAGGAATGCACAGAACTTCTCTTTTTATTGTGAGAAATTTCAACATATACAGAAGTGGAGAGAACAAGACAGTGCCCACTGTGTGTTTACCAGATTCATTTTTGATACATTCATTCCCTTCTTTTACCCCTTATCTTTCTCTTAAAGAACTTGTCTTTTTGCTATCATATTTTAAAGCAAATCTCAGACTTATTATATCCTTTCTTACTGTAGTATGCCTTTCAAAGCTGAGGGCATTTTGGATTTAACTACAAAGCATTAGAACTCCTAGCAGTGGTCAATAAGCACATATGAAGATGCTTGGTGTCATCACTCAGTAGGCAAATGCAAAGCAAAACCACAAGGAACATCATTTCACCCCCTCTAAAATGTCTGTTTAGAAAAAAAGAAATGGAAAAATAACAAGTACTGGCAATAATATGGAGAAACTGAAACCCTCACATATTGGTGGTAGGAGTGTCAAAGAGAGTACAGTGCCCTGAAAAAAGTATTTGGTGGTTCTTTAGTGTTAAACACAGAATTTAGCATATGATGAGTAGTTCCATCCCTAAGCCTATATCCAGAAGAACTGAAACATTTGTTCAAACAAAAACCTGTGAATGCTTATAGACCTGTGTTTATAATAACTGAAAGGTAGAAACAATGCAGTTGCCTGCCCATCACTTGATGAATGGGTAAACCAAACCTAGTCTGTTCCCACAATGAAATATTATTCAGCTATGAAAGGGAACAAAGCACTGACACATGTAATAGCATGGATGAAGCTTGACAACATTGTGCTAAATAAAAGAAGGAAGCCAGTCACAAAGGGACACATGTGTGATTCTATTTATATGAAATGTCTAGAATGGGTAAATCTATATAGAGAGAAAGTAGATTAGTAGCTACCAGCATGTGGGGAAACTGGGGAACATGGAGCACTGCTTCATGGGTGTGGGCTCTCTTTCTGGGGTAATAAAAATACCCTGGAACTACATAACTGTGATGGTTCCACAACAACCATTACGAATGGACTTAATGTCTGAATATTGAACATTTTAACCTGACACAGTGATGAATTTTATGTAATATATATTTTACCAGTTTTGGTAAATTTTTTTTTTTTTTTTTGTACCGGGGATTGAATTCGTGACCTTGTGCTTTCGAGGCAGGCGGCAGAACTACTGAGATAAATCCCCAGCCCTATTTTACCACTTTTAAAACTCCCTTTAAAAAGCAAGAGTAGGCCAGGGATTTAGCTCAGTGGTTTTGCTGCCTGCTGAGCAAGCACAAGGACCCGAGTTCAATCCCTGGTACTAAAAAAAAAAAAAAAGCAGAGGAATTCCTTATTATCTAATGCCAGTTCATATTTAAATTTTCCTGGCTGTCTCAGAAGTGGGTTTTTGTGTGTGTGTTTTGCTTTTTTTGCATTGCTGGGAATGGAGTTCACACATGCTAGGCAAGCACTCTACCACTGAGCCACACCCCTAATCCAGAAGTGTTCTTTCACAGTTGATTTTCTGGGGTCCAATCCAAACAAGGTCCATACCTTGCATATGATTATTACATTTCTTAAACATCTTTTTTTTTTGGTACCAGGAGTTGAACTTGGGACCTTGCACTTGTGAGGCAGGTGGTGAAACCACTGAGCTAAATCCCTGGCCCACATTTCTTAAGGATCTTTGTAACATTCACAATGGGACATTTTAAGTATCTTCACAGTTAGAGAGGGCAACACGGAACCTCTAGGTACACATCACAGAGCTTCAATAATTAAAAACTAGGGCCAGGGATTTAGCTCAGTGATTCTGCCACCTCCCTTTCAAGTGCAAGGACCCGAGTTCAATCCTTGGTACCAAAAAAATAAAAATGAAATTAAAAGCTAATAACCACTTTTTTTTTTTTTTTTGGCACCGGGGATCGAACTCGGGTCCTTTAATAACCACTTTAAAATTTTGGGGGGGTTGGTGATATAACTCAGTGGGAAAGAGTTTACCTAGCATGTACGAGGCCCTGGGTTTTATCCTCAGCACCACAAAAAAGCTAAAGGCAAGGAAAGAAAAGAGAAGAATTGTTTTCAACTTCCCTTCTTTTCTTTTTGTTTTTGAGACAGCATTCTGTGTGGGGAAGGATGGCCTTGAACTCATCATGCAGTCCAGGCTGGTGTAAGCTCACGGCGGCACTCCTGCCTAGGCTCCCGAGTGCCGGGGTTATACTCGTGCTATGCCCAGCTTTTAACTTTTCATTCTGAGGTTATTTCATACTTACAAAAAAGGCTGCAAAAATGGTGCAGTGAGTTCCCATGTGACTTTCACCCAGCTTCCTCAAACATTGACCTTTACTCTGAGACAGTTCAGTCTGCCTTTGTCTTTGTTGGCTGTGACATTTTCGAAGCATGATGGCCAGTTATTCTGTAGGATGTCCCTCCATTTGATTTCCCTGATGTTTCCTCACGCTTTAATTTAGATTATGCAGTTTTGGTAGGGATCACATAGAAATGCTGTCGTGCCCCTCCTCATGTCATTTTACTCCATCACTAGTGATGGTAACTTTGATCACTGGGTACAGGAGTATCTGCTATGGCTCTTCCCTGTGAAGTTACTATTTGTCCCTTTTAATAAGTATCTTGAAGGAAAGTACTTTGACACTGTATAGGTATCCTCTTTCTAATCATTTTCCCCCCTAACTTGAGCATCCATCATTAATTCTTAGCTGAACCAGTCATTACTGTGGTGTTTCCCAAATGGCAATTTGCTGTTTCCATCATTCTTTACAGAAAGGGAGAACCTCCCCTTTTCTTTCATTTGTTTATTTGCTTGTATCAGCATTGATTGAGAATATTTGTTATGGGGCATGAGTTACAATCTATTTCTATCATTTTATTCTCAGATTGTCCTATATTTGGCTATTGGGACATCCTTTAAGTTTAACAGCCGCGTGATTAATCTATTCCCCCACCTACTCCTCTCCCCTAGATTATTTTGAATCAAAACCTAAAAATCATCAGTTCATCTGTAAATATTTCTGTATATCTCTAAAAGGTAGAGATTATTTTTAAAACATAGATACTACCATTATCATATCTAAATATAATGAACAATAAGTTTTAATATCAAATATCCAGTCATTGTTTATATTTTTTTGTCTTATAAATGTTTTGTGTTTATGGTTTGTTTGGATCAGGATTCAAATGAAGTCTGTGCATTGTGCCTGGGTATTACAATTCCCCCCCATCCCCCCATACCAGTGATTGAACACAGGACCTTGTGCTTGAGAGGCAGGCGCTGTGCCACTGAGCTCAATCTCCAGCCCTACAATTCTTAAGTGTATTGATCCCTCCTTTTGTTTTTCTTGTATCTTTGGAGAAGAAGCCAGGTCCTTTGCCCTGTAGAGTTTTCTGGGGTCTAGGTTTTGAAGCTTGCTTCACCATGGTGCCCTGTAACATGCTTCCTGCTCTCTCTACCTTCTATGTTTTGGTAGATTCAGAAGCTTAGTAAGAGTGAAGTTCAGTTTTTATGAAAAGACTCTCTTCTACATGGTGCTGTGATGTCCCATTAGGAGGCACAGGTATCCAGTTAAGTGCTTGTGCAGTGTACAATTCTGTTAATGATCGGGGCCCAACTCCACTAATGGTGGAGTTACAGAATGATGATACTTGAGTCCTATCGTTTTTCATCTTTTTCTCCGTGTTACTCATGTATAGAAAGACTTCTCATCAGCTACTTGTTACCTTGAAGCTCATGTGCAAAACACTAGGTAAATGCCTGTTTCTCTCCCTTTATTAGTTTCCACAATAATGAGTTGCTTCTCTTGCATTCTCCCAAGGTAACAGATGAGATTCTAAAATACACATATCATTATAGACTGATAGATTCACACATATTGGTGTGTTTCAATCCATTGCAGTTATTATCTTATTGATGTTACAGTTATTTCAGCTTTGACCCGTGGGAGCCTGCTCGAGTTGCCCTGCAGGTCCTTCTGACCTGACCCCGTGATCCCTGGGAGGTTCTCCACTGGCTGTTATGACAGCATGCTCCAGATGCACCGTGTGCATTTTCTGTGTTTGGTCTGGATCCACTGTCCTTCCAAGGAGCTGCTCTTAGTTGCACTTTTACTGGAAAATAGTACTGAGAAATCATAATTGGGACATCAGCAGTTCTCATTGCTACTGACTTGGTCTCATAATTTTAAAGCCTTTTTAGTCAACAAGCCTCAGGAAAACATACATATTTAAATACAAAACACATCCTGAGTTCGTTCTGAAGCTTCCAATTGAGATTCAGGCCTGTGGGTTTGTATTAAATCTCCTCCGTCTTCTCTATTTCCCCTTTCCTTCATAGAAACTTCACTTCCCAAGAATGTAACATAATCATTTGCTTTGCTGCAGCCTGTTACACACATGAATCTTGAATCCTCAAAACAGGCTGGGAGAAAGGAGTCAAACCCCACCAGTCCTGTCACTGCCACCAGTGCCCTCACAGCATGGTGATTGCCACACCACCACTGCCGCTATGCATCATGCAGCTGTCCTCGGTGACGTGACTCTAAGCACAGCATGTGATGAAATGGTGCCTCAGTGAATAGTTCTTGTGTGATGGTTCTTTTCCCTCTTATAGCAAATTCCCTTTAGAGATTTATGGCTAAAATACTGTATTTTAAAGCTACAAGGAGTAATGTTTTTCTGCATGATGTTCCCTCAATTGGATCCTCTTTAAACTCACTCTGTTTTTAATTCTTAGGGAATTATTTTATCAACATTTAAATTTGCTTTATAATTATGTGAAATACTTATATAGTTTCCAAGTCAAACCCAGAAGACAAGATATATTCAAAGCAGTGTAACTTCCATGTTCCTCCTTCCATTGTGCTCCTACCTATCTCTCCTAGGAAGCTGTTGAGCTATTTTTATAAATATGGTAGCTTAGCTTTCACTTTTTTTTTTTTTTTGAGACAAGGTTTTACTATATAAAGTATATAGAGTATGTATAGCCCAGGCTGACCTGGAATTTGTGACAGT